CGCTTCCCGGGACGGTCCCGGCGGCCCGGCCCTCACCGCAGAGGAGCACCCCAGGGCGCTGCACTTGGGAGTCGGGGCGCGGCCGACGCGGGGCTGCCGGGAAGGGGCTGGTGTGCGCGCACCCCGCACCGTGGACCTGGCAGCTTGAGGCTCACCTTGGGAGGAACACACAGCCAGCGTGCGCCACCGCTACAAACTAGGCTTTATTGAGGGCCAGATCCCAGGCAGGCCAAGCAGACACGGGCCCTGCCCCTGCCCCGCCCCGCCCCGGCCCGGCCCGGCCGCGCTCTGCCCCCCCCCCCCCCCGCCCCCGGTCCCCGCCGCGCCCCTGCTGGGCGCAGCGGACACGTGGGCTCCCCGGGGAGCCCTGCTGGGGGGGGGTAGGGGGGTGGAAACCGCAGCGCACCTGCGTGCGGGGGAGGGGGAGGGGCTGCAGCTTCCCACACATGCCTCAGCCCCACTGTGAAAAACACCAGTGTTCTAGAACTTTCCCTCCAGGGGGGTCTCCAGCACCCCCGACTTTCCAGGGGCAGCCGGGGCACGCACTCCCTTTTGGGCCCCAGGTGGGCCCCCCCCATGACCCAGGGCCAAACTGTGCCTGAGGCGGGGCCTCTAGGGGACAAAATAAGTCTGGCAATGGCGGCTCACGCCTGTCATCCCAGCACTGAGACCCGGGGCTGAAGCCAGCCTGGGCAGAAAAGTCCCGGAGACTCTAAACCTCCAGTGAACAGCCAGAAGCGGCCCCAGTAGAGTGCTGGCCTTGAGGAGAACAGACAAGTGTGTGAGGCCCTGAGTTCAAGCCCGGGCCCTGGCAGGAGAGGCCAGATGACAGCATCTGCCCCAGGGCCAACCCCCGGCGCCTCCCGCGGGACACCCGCCCTCCCCACCCATGTGCTAAGGACGGGCGAGGGCTGGGTCACGTGCAGATGGCCTGTGGTACCCCTCAGCATCCCTGTCTGCCTCAGTGTCCCTGCTCCTCTGTGTGGGCAGCCCCCCCCCGCCCCTGGCTGAGAAGCCAGGAAAGGCCCCCGGCAGGGCCGTGGGGGCCTCTGGGGGACAAGGCCGAGTGACTGAGGAGGGGAACCCCCAGAGCCCCTCGCAGGTGCCCTGCTGCCCACGTGGGTGGCTTCCTCGCCCTGCCCACCTGCACCTGCTCTCCGCAGACCTCAGACAGGCCGGAAGCTGGTACGCCCCGGGGGACCAGCTGGGGGCCATGGACTGTGCAGGGGGTGGGGGTGGGGGCTCCCCGAGTTCTTCAGAGCTGGCTTTGACGCCCCCATATCCAAAGAAATGACAGCACCGGAAGGTGAGGGACTTAGCCCAGAAGGCCTCCGGGCTGGTATCAGACCTGTGTCCTTGGGTCTCCTAACTTGTCCCAGCTCCTGGCCACTGGCTTCCTCTGCTCCACCCTTTCCTGAACTTAAGGACCTGGGCTCGGCATCAGCCTTGTGGGCCATGGTCTGTCCCAGCCTCCGGCACGTGCAAAGGTCCTGGGGCCCCTGCTCAAACATGCACACACCAGCTCTGGCCTGATGAAATGGCCAGCTCTTGAGGGCAGCCATCCTGGCTAGGTGGCCTGGGGTCCCTGCCCACAGGGGGGGACCCCACGATCACCCACTGGCGGATGTAGCTTCTGGGGGGGCCCTCCTCCCGGACACCCACAAAGTCACTCTCCACGGGGCTGCCGCAGTCCGAGCCCGCGAAGCCGCTGTCGAACGTGTCCATGTCCAGGCCGGCCGGGGGGGAGTCCACCTCGCTGTCGGAGGGCCAGGACGGCCCCGCGGCCCAGCCCCCCTCACCCAGGGGCATCCTCAGCCCGCCCAGCCTGGGGCCACGCGCGGAGACGCAGCCACAGGGGAGGGACGTGGCCACTGCACCCAAGAGCAGCTCCGACGGGCCCAGCCCCACGTCCAGGTTCAAGGCCGGATAGCCGTCATCTCTGCAGGGCCAGGCGTGTGGGCCTTCGGCGCCCATCACCATCACCGTGTCGATGGACACCAGGCCGTAGGGCCGCTCCCCCTCCTCGCTGCCCATGCCCCCCTCCGGGGCCCCGTCACACTCCAGCCGCTCAGCCAGCCCCGGCGGCGGCATCTTGGGCGGACTCTGGGCTGGGCCTGTGGACTGAACCTGCAGCGCCGACGGGACCAGACTCCCCGACCCCAGCTCCAGGCTGGAGGCCGTGAAGGAGGCCCCCACCCATTTCTGTGAGGGAGAAACAAAGGCAGAGTCATGGATGGGCAGAGACAGCGAGACAGAGCTCCTGAGCTGTCATCCCCACGAGATCTGAGGAGGGCGGTTCGAAGCCAGCCTGGGCGGGCAAGTCTGGGAGACTCTAGTCTCCAGCGAGCCATCAGAAAGCTGGAATGGAAGGGCCCTAGTCTTGAGTGAAAAGCTTAGGGTCAATGCCCAGACCCTGCCCCAGCGCAAGCCTCCTGGCCGGGGCCCAGACACCCTCAGAGCCTCGCACACAGCAAATGTGAACTGAGCGAGCTGAGAAATCCACTGAGCTGCGTGCTTCCCCGCCCCCTCCCTCACCTGGGGCTCCACCTAGGCCACCCGGGGACAGTCCCTCCCCTCCCTGGGCCCTCTCCGGAAAACTCTTGGCTGTGTGTGTGACACAGCTCATCCCTTAGCTGTGTGGCCTTGAGTTAGCTGCTTGCCCTCTCTGTGTCTCTGAGGGGGGGGCGGGGGTACACGCCTGTGTAGCTGTGAGAAGTGGCAGGCAGGCCGTAGGAGCTCTGTTGAGAACTCGGGGTGCTGCCCTACCCCCTCACCACATCCTCTGCGCCCCCCTCCCCCCGCAGGCGGGGAGTGGAGCAGATCCCTGCCCTCGTGTGCGTGTGGGAAGCCGGGCAGGTGGCACGGGGGGGGGCACAGCCCCCCCATCCAGGAATCCCCAGCCCTCCCCTCCCCCGGAAACCCCTCAGAGTCTGACTGAGTCTGAGGCCAGCTTCCCCCCGCCCCAGGCAACTTTCTCTGAACCTGGGGAAACTGAGGCTGGGCTCCCCAAGAGGACCAGAGAGGCAAAGAGGGCTGCTCAGGGTATTACGAGCTCACCTTGAAGTCCCCGCTGTGGCTCTCATACAGAGGCCCGAAGAAGTACTTAGGGCTGGGCACGGGTGCCCACAGCCTCTTCCACAACCTGAGGGGGCACAGGTCAGAGGTCAGGCGAGCCTCCGCCCCTTCACAGCCGCCAGGCGGCCTGGCACCTCCCACCTTTGTCCCACCTCCCACCTCCCACTCGATGCGGCCCAGATCCCCCCTCTCCCACCCTGGGCCTCAGTTTCCACATCTGTTAATTGGAAGCCACGTGTCTCCCTCCCCATCATGGGGTCCTGCAGAACTCTGGGCCAACGCTGCCCCTTCTGAGCCTCAGTTTCCTCCACTACCGGAGGGCTGGGCAGAGCTGGCTCAATTCACTGGGGAGAGTTATGTGGGGATGGGGGGGAACAGAGGGAGGACTCAGCACCCAGCACCCATACCTGCAGAGACTCTACCTGAGCACCTCAGGCTCTCTGCCCTGTCTGCCTTGGCGTTGGTGGAGAGGATCAGAAGGAATGGTGGGTACCCCGTATTTCTAATTACACCCTTTCAATGGCAAGGAACCCCCACACATGAAACAGACGCGAGCCAACCCTCTGATTAGCACAAGAGGTACAGGAAGGGGCCGATCGCATCACCTCCCATGCACCCCCACTGAACAAAGTCCTAGCTGACGGGATCGGTGGAAAGAACACGAGGTCTCAGTTGCATCTCGGCGCTGTGTGACTCTGGGGAAGTTCCCTGACCACTCTGTGTCTGGGGTGTGTGGAATGTAAGGAGGGGGGAGGATGGAGATGGATCGAGTTCCATTGCCATCACGACCCATGCTGACCCCTTGGCTCCCCTCTGAGCCCCAGCCTTACCTCCAGGGCAGACGGGTCTTCAGGCCCAGGAAGACGAGGCCAGTGGCCAAGAACGCTAGAAGCAGCAGCAGCAGCAGTTCCCAGTTTGCCTCAGGCCCTGCCAGGACACAAAGAATGGGTCGGTGTGGTGGTGGTCGCCTCTCCCAGGGGCCTCGGGGTGGGCAGGGAGGGTGGGGGGGCAGTCAGGGCCTCCATGGGGCGGGGGACGGGCCAGACCTGCTAGGCCCCAGCGCTGAGGCCTTGCTCTGCCGCTATTGGTGGGATCTCTGGGAGGAGGCGGGGCTTGGCGGGAGGAGGCGAGGTCATTGGAGGGGAGGTGGACACGCCGCCTCCTCCCTGTCTCCCTCCTTACATCCTGTCCACCCTGTGCGCCAGGCCCGGGGGAGGCTGGACTCCGGGGCTCCGGGGGCTGGAAGCGGGGTCCCCCCTCCCCGGCCTCACACCTACCCCCGGGCGGGACCTGGAAGGTGACCGGCTCACTCCACTCGCTCCACGTGCCCTGGAAGAGGCCGGGCTGGGCGGCGGCGCGCACGCGCAGCTCGTA